ATCCTGCAGCCTATTCATATGAGCAACATTAAAGGGTATCTATGGTCAATAATTAAACATAAATATGTATTTCTATATTGAATTTCCTACTCTTAAAAACCATATCACTTTAGAAGTTTAAAAACGTAATTACCGGAGATGCCCATAGACAAACTTCCTAAATGCACTGACGCAATTTCATTCAGCCCTGTGAATATGCACTTCTTTGTGTCACAACTCACTGAGCCTGCCTTCTAAACTACAAACTCAACTTCTGAATAATGTAAGATTATCATTGCTGGAAGCAATGCAATATGGCATATGTAGTTTTGAGAAATTGAGATTGCAGCATGGCAAGCAGCAGTGAAAGCAATGCAAAGCACATTGGGAATCCAGGAAGTTGTTTAAAGTGATGGGCAGACAGAAGGCAGCACTGACTACATAAAAGGGATTTTTTTAAAGTAAGCTTTGATTGCATTATCAAAAAGAACTATAGCATGTATTCCTATTACAATGCTGATGTTATAACAGGATATGATATGCTGTGTCTTTCAAATGCCTTCAGTTCATTTCACTGAAAAAGAAAACAAAAGGTGCACCACGTTAGTGCATTGCCACAACACTTCTTTGGAAATGAAAACAAATGTATATGCTAACATACTCCTCTGAAATAGCAGGGCTTACAAGAGGCCATACTGGAGAAGCAATGGCAGAAGCTAATGCATATAGTGGCCAGGAGGGGGGCTCCTATAGACTTCTGTTATTTTGTTGCTAGGCTCTGCTATTTCCACTGCTCTGTTTCAGATGCATTTCTTATGTAAAGCCTTTATTAGCACCTACACCATGTTACTGCCCTGTTTCTGACCACACCACACAAGAAGCCACCTGTTATTAATACTTCTGTTGGTTCTTCAGCACACTACTAAAGATTTTTTTTCTGCATTATCAGAGATAGTTTTGTCTTGCTTTGTCGTTTGTTGTTTTGTCTTTATAGATAATAGGCATCCTGATCTGCAGTCTTCATTTTGTCTCCTGAATATCTTTGTCCCGTGTTTCTTTGTATAGTCAGTGTAGTTTATCGCCACATATTCCACTTTACTACCCTGCTTCTTTACGTATTTTCATATCCTCTCTTTTGTTTTGTTTTTTTAACTTGAACATAAAGAGGGGGCTGCCCTTGCGCCGCTTGTCCAACACCCCTTGGAAGTGGGGACAGGAAGTGTGTGGACACAGAGTAGCATGAATGCCGATGAAGCAGACTGCACTGCATGAGTCCAGGAACCCTGGGGAACAGACTGGAACAGGAAACAGAAGCAGGTCAAAGATATAGTCCAAGGTCACAGCCAGCCGTGCAACGAAGTACAGAATCGAGAACCAAGAGAGATTTCGGGTCACAGGCCAATGTCAAGAGCAGCAGATCAGCGAGGTACCAGACAGGAGGCAGAGAGTAATCTAGTAAACAGACCGAGGTCTCAGTGGCAGGCAGCGTGCGAAAGGAGTGGTCAGCAAACAAGCCGAGTCAGGTGCAGGAATCAAGCAGACAGATCAGATCACAGGGAGACAGGAACAAGCTGAAGATTTTCCAGCAACCTGTGCACACTACAAGCTTATTTATATAGGCCAGCCCATTAGTACATGTCCTATGCAACTTCCTGTGCGCCACCCTGTTGGTCCGTGCATGTCTTCTTTCATGCGTTTGTGTTTCCACGCATGTTCCGTACTGCACACTTCCATGCGTGCCTGCACACTATTGCATGTTTGGCAGCATGTACTGGGCTTTTCTTAGACTGACTAACTATGTAACAACATTACAGATCTCCAGCCAGCTGTTGTTTGCAAACAAACCAGCTGGGGATCCTAGGTGGCGCCACTGACCAAGTATGGTCATGGGGACTGCCATGCATTTTTTTAAACAGCAGTACACATAAAAAATAGGATTCCACTTAAAATTAATACCAGACATTTAGCCTGGGCGGCCAGGAAAAGAAAGGCAGCAAGTGTGCGTCTTCCCCCTCCTGAATCATACCAGGCCACATGCCTTTCAACACTAAAAGGGCACCTTGCAAGGTTTGGGGGTCAAGTTCCCCTTCTTTCTTACAAGGCACCTTGTCCCTAAATTGAGGGTATAAGGGACTAATCCCCACATCCTTTCCCTCAGAAGGTTTGTGGTGGGTCTTACTGGAATATGAAATCCCCCCTACAGAATAAGGGAGAACCTTTGTAGTTAAGATCCAATTTTTTTTTATTGATGATCAAATAAAGCCCAATTTATGGGATTATATTCCTCTCTTATTCAGGTCTAGAGGGCCAAAAATTAATAGTTATACATTTTTCAATTTAGGGAAATCATTTGGGCATGGGGTAAAATATGCAGTTATGTGAAACTATAGAGCGTGGAATTGGCATTTGCAGAATAAAGATCTACAGTTAAAGTAATACTAAACTTTGGAGTTAAACTTTAAAAATGTAATAAAGTACCTTAACTATCTTATTATCTTATTTGTGCATCACTTTTGTGGTTTTTGTGTTGTGATGTAATTTTGCAGTTTGCTATGATAATGTGTCATGTTTTTTCAGTAGCGTCACTAGGGCGGTGCAGCTTGCACCAGAGTGACACCAAAATGACATGGAAAAAAGGAGCAACAACAACAACAAAAAGCCTGGCTATGTGCAAAAGGCAAATTTCCTAAACAAGCTCCATATTTTAGGAAGCCCATTTTGCAAATAACTTACTGTTTTCAGAAGAAAAAAAATAGAATCTCTCTGCTCTGAAATGAAATTGATAGCATTCTCCACAAAGCTATATGTTTCATTTTAGATGCTAGTTTTTAACACAATGAGGCAAAGCAACAGAACAAAAACAACTCCAAGTTAATGAAGTAAAGGCAAATGCATGTGACAAGTTGTGGGAGAGAAGAGGCTTCGAAAAAACAAAACAATATGAATATATATATAATCCAGCTATATATATCTATATA